TAGCTCTCCTTTTTGGGGTGCAGCAGGCAGGGCGCAAGAATGCAACATTTCACGACTTACAGGAAGTTCTACCCGAAGACCAACGTGCCCATGGCTACAGCTGAGCACCCAAAGAATTTCAAGTCTGTTAAGTCCACCTTCAAGTGGGCGACCATCTTCTTGCAGAACGCTGCCAAAAGATATGGGGCCAGATTTGTGTGTGACAGTTTGAAATCTTGGAGGTGGCAACTGTCCACATGTTTTACCGGCGTTGGATGCGCTGAAACGGTGCAAAACTTAGGTTAAGAGAGGCTACACCACCCAGTCACATTTGCAGCGCGTCCGAATGATTTGATGCATACTTAGGCAGCTTTGTCCCTCCAATCAGCTGCTGCTACGTTCATGCGAATGCATCGCCCAGCTGGTATTAGGAGCTTTACTGAGAAGGTTGTGTTGGCGGCCGGCTGCGAGATCAACAAACCATGCCAAACTGTCTTGCTCAAGACTTTTGGACCACCGATGGAAGACATTGTTTGTTTGGTGATGTCTTGAGCATTGATCGCCAGAAAGGGAAAGCTTTCTGCCTTGCCCACAACAAGAGCTGTCCACTGCAAAAAGCCAGCTGCAATGGACCCTCAGATAGATTTAGTGTTCTTTGATCCTTTCCGCTCTTGCTCCCATTCTCCTGCCCACTCTTGGCCCTCAGTCTCTGCAGTAAATCACTTTTTCACTTCATGAAGAGACATGGTTACCATGGATTAGATGTCACATCACGTTTCAAGAGAGATGTCAGCGGGTTTCTTCAAAAAGCTGGGCCAAGGAGTGAAGACCAGCATTGCTGGCCACAATCTCAGTTCAACCTGTTCACGTTTCTGCTTCAACTTTTGGCAAGCCATTGCTGAGGCCCTGTGTGCTTCCCGTTCTCTTTGATGGGCAGCCGGCGTCAAATGGCTGACCCCCACTTTCGCACACACACTGCCTTCTATAACAACATGGCTTGTGATCAGGACCTCAACATCATTGAGAACGTGCCTGAGTATCCGGAAAAGATCATTCAGGATGCTCTTGGACCCGCCTTCGTGGTGACCGCTGTGAAGATAGATCCAAGGATCTTTGGCCTTGCCGTCGCCCGTGCCAGGATTTATGCGATTGCATTTCGCAAGTCCAAGCTTCGATGGAGGGCCGAGTTTTCAGTGAATGAGTTCTTGGATGCGATGACTTCACAAGTCTCCCTGACTTCCACCAACTATTGGTTTCGGAAGCTGCCCCGTCAGGTTCTCTCAGACAGTGATGACACTTGGGTCAAATTACGTTCTTTCATGAAATTCGAACTGGTTGGTCCTTTTCCAAAGCCTGAATCATTTAGCCGTTCAGCAAGTGCTAGGCCTAAGTCCTTCATGATGTTGGTTGGGTAGGAAGCTATCTCACCATTCTCGCCCAGCAGAACCGCCTCAGGCGAAGAACTTGAATGATTATGCGAACTTGCGCTACAAGAAGGTGGTCGACCTGAGCCAGTATGCACGAAACGGCCGTGGTCGTGGCGAGACAAAAGACAATGCTCTTTGCACACTGACAACGAATTCTGGAAAGTTGTTTTCGAAGGACATTTTGCTGTGTGTTTATTTCAACCACTCAGTGAGATATAACAGCAGCAGCATTTGAAACTAAGGTTGTGTCCAGGTTCTAAATGATGTTTATCTTGTTGTTTGGAGGGAAATGTTTCATGGAGAGTTGAAACGGATGTCACAACAACTGAGAGACTGATGAATGAATTTAATATCTTAGTGACCTTTGCCATCGCACTTGACTGTGTAGTCTCCGAAGGCTCTTCTGACTCTGCTTGTTTGATTTCACTACTAGTAATATCTAGTAACTCTTGACTCTTGACCACAGCCGAGCGCTCTGGGACCACCATGAAACTTGCATACCCTATCAAACCCTTCAATTCTTCTCTCCGACATTGGGGGTGCAGGACCATGGGCGCTTCCTTTCTGCAAGTGAGCTGCTGGCATCTCACACGTTGCCAACTACGGCGCAGCAGGCAAGGTGGTCTGGCAGTCCGATGCTGGAGCTGGGTGGAATTTCAGAATCCAGCAAAATCAAAATGAGCGGGAATGGCATGAATGTGCCTTGTGTTGGATGTGTGATCCTTTGTTGTGTGTTGGGCCTAGAGAAAGTCTAAGCTCTGCTGTTGGTACAGTGCGGCAGGTATCGAATTTCAATGCAATATTAGTATTTGCCACTTACGGAGCATGATGCACAGAACTAGTTGCTTCCGAATGGCTTGCAATTCAGTGTCCCCGACACACAAATTCATGTGTTGGTATGTCAAGGGCATGATTGCTTCGGTGTCAGGCTGAACGAAATCATCCGATTATGTTTCAATATGTGCTACAGTAGGAGGATTCTCAGGAAACTCCCTTTGAACACCGACAGCTGCTCAGTACAGTGCCAGTGCCTTCAGCGATGGCGAAGAGACCTCTGCCGTTGGGTGGGGGCGCTGGGCGGAGGAAAGCAGTTAAGATTGAAGCAGATCACCCTTGGGCTGATAAACTTTTGGGAGAAGCAAGGCTGGGAATGCCCTTTGCACAGTCTTGCTATTTGTGTTGTCCGTATAAACGTTTGTTCTGTTGATTGGAAAGAAGTTCACATGCCACAAAGTCTTGACCCAAGAAAACACAAACATCATATTTAAAGACAACAAGTCTTGTCCCAAGCCATACTTGTCCAGCTGGGTGCCAGGGCCTTCGACGTTGCTGCTGGATGCCATCCAGTGAAGTTCTGCCTGGAAAAGCAAAGCAAGGAGGTGTGCCCAGCATTGCACGTATGGCTGAACGAGGTTGCCCCGGGGACAGTGGCAGATTTGGAGACAATCACAATTCCTGCAAATTGGCTGCAAAGTGTGAGAAGAAACTGGGTGGGTTCTGGTATTCACCTTCTTTCACATTGTTGGGTGAAATACTCTGTTGAATCCAAAGTGATGAGTGAGCACTTGAAGATTAACGTTCAAATTCACAGGTTTAGTGGAATGTTTCACACTTGAATAAGTGGCCCTCGTTCTTTTGATCAAAAGAGTTCTCATGGCCACATCCTCAAACCTCTCTTCTTTCCTGATCAGTTATGGGCTGCTGAGGGTAGTGGCACTGCAGAGATGATGCGGCCTCTGGTCCTCGCGCTATATCTTCAGCATCCAGCAGATGGACTACCATTGTTGCAAGATTGGCTGACTACAGCAGGGGACATCTACCACACTGGTTTTGAGGGGTGGAGAGAAACCATTGAGGTTAGGTGCAACAGCACATGTCTGGGGCGTCCAATCGAGTATGGGTCTTTGAGGCCAACAAAGGGTGTTGGCCGCGCTTCTGTCATCATGTTTGCGATCCTCTACACCTTCCACGAATTGAAAAACAAACTGTCCAAGGAAGAAACCGATGATTTTGCCAGGCTCAACTCTGGGGCAACTTGCTGTAAAGACTGTTCTAGATGTCTCTCTAGTTCGCTGTGTGGGAGAACATAACGTTGTTGCGCACATTTAACTTTTTAGATCCCCAAACCAACTATCAATGGATATAGCTGCTGATTATTTATTACCAAACCAGGCCCGTAGTTAGTTGCACTCCCCTATTGCCAACCAGCCCGTTTCTCATCTTATGGCCAGACAAGGGTATCACTGCCCACATTGCAGCAAACTGATGTTCAGCTAATAAATGCAAACATGTTCTGAAAGCTAGCTTGCAACTGTGCATATAACTACCAACTAACACCCAGTGAAGTGCATCTACTTACCAGCAAACACCAGTACCAGTGCAGCACATCTAACTACCAACTAACACCCAGTGAAGTGCATCTAGTTACCAACTAACACCAAGTGTAGTGCATCTAACTACCAACTATATAGCACCCAGTGCAAGTAACCACCAACTATCCCAAATTGCATTTGATAGCAAGATAATGCCCAGTGCAACTAACTGCCTGGAATCATTTGGTTCGCCTCTAACCATGATTTTGTAACTTAATTTAAAGGTGACCCTGAGGCTGAAAAGGTCGCCTTCCCCCTAGCCACACAGGCACCGCCAGGCCTTGACCACATCTAGCACCTGAAGCTCCGGGTAAAGAATCTAAAGGCTTTGATATGTTTCCCCTTTGAATTTATCTTCCTCTGATATGTCATGATGATAACCTGTGCCAGATCCGCCAGCCAAAAGGTGAACCTTTCAGGCCCAGGGTCGCCTTATCTTGATTGGTTTCTAAAACTGTAAAAGGTGATGATTTTAATGACCAAGCCTATATTGTGACCAATTCTGCAACTAACAACAAGTCCATGTAACATGGATTGCATCTTACCTTCGCAAGTGCATCCAATTCTGCAACTAACAACAAGTTCATGTAACATGGATTGCATCTTACCTTTGCAAGTGCATGTTACCAGGAGCATGTGATGCAGTTACTCTAAAGGTGATGTTTTTGCTGCTAGGGTCGCCTTGCGGTAGATACTGAAAACGTCGCCTTTTGTTTGGGGTCGAAAAGTTCACCTTCTAGCTGAACCCAAAAGGTCGCCTTCTGGTCTGTCAGGTGGTTGAACTCTCTGTCCACGCTCCGTGTGACTTTGATGGACGGTCCAATGTATTGCTTGGAGTTTCGGCGAATGCAGATCCATGAGCAACAAGCAGAGAAGCAAAAGAAGAATCCGTTGCAGAAGACACTGCTTTTCTCAAGGCGTGCAACATCCATCATGTTGTTGGACTCTCTGCTGCATTGTGCTGATCAAGTATGGAGTCTTTGGGGTCACCTACACCTACCTTCAGTGATTTGTTGAACCCAAGAATGTTTTCAATATGTTTTCTAAGTCCCCTTATTTTTGGGAGAAAGCTTGATGACTCCTTCTGCCAGGAGCCGGACCTGGCAGAACGCGAAGCTTTCCTGCAAGCTGTGGATGAGTACAACAGCTATGGCATTGCACTGCACAATCCCAAGTGGCAAATCGATGAGTGTGCAGCTCAAGGCCTGGTTTTGGGGTTCCAATGGTTCCAAGTATCAAGACACTCTCAATGTGCCCTGCTAGGTGGGTGTCAGCAAACCTGTGTGGACCATGATTGAGAACCACTTGCATGAGCACCGCTTTTCAGAGTCAGGTGGGGGGTGAATCAACTGCTGACATTGACTGCTAGCATCCCTTGGGTGGTGAATCAACTACTTGCTAACATCCCTTAAGTTTGCTCTGTGATTTAAAGTGGCCCCTGCCAGCCTTCAGCGCGCAAACATTGACATCAACTAGATGGCTTCTAGATGGATGCGCTGAGGGAATTGACAACCCGATTTGGCACAACATATTGAAGGTCGATGCGATGAAGCAGGAGCTTTTCATGAACCGAATCATTTTTCTGCACAACCGTGCCTCCAAGCGAAGTGGCAAAGCAGCATCTTGTCACCTGGCAATTTCTGAATGGTGCAGCGAAGTGGAGCGCATGTGTTTGGCCCATTTCATTCACGAGCAAATGGGGATGGCAGTCAACAGCGATGGTGCTCCGCTGTTTGAGGAATCTGCCAAGTCGAAGGTGCTGAAGCGAACCATTGATGGGCCCCTAGGCTTTTATTAATGTGTCGTGTGTTTTTGGGGGCGTGGTGCCGCTGTGTGGAATCCCCTGCCCCCACCGAATGGAATACAATTTCAATACTGCCAACAGCTGTGCTTCAGGGACTACACAAATGAGCTCAACGCCCTCCTGACGGTGAAGGATGGTCAGTTCCAAGCCCATCATACAGAGATTTGGACTCTGGGCTCTGCTTTCGTTTCATGTTTTTTATATGTTGATTTTCGAGTGTGGAAGTAGAGATGTGAGAAGGTATTGACAGCTGATTCCTTGAGGTAACCATAAATCCCCACTTGAAGCCCCGAAAGACTCTGCTCCAGTGTCTTGAAGCGCTGATGAGGAAAGAACACATTGTGACACTTCCTCCAGCTGCACAGTTTGCAACAGTGGATGGCAAATTGGAAGAGCTTTCCAAAGATGCTCGCAAGATGGTATTTGATCAAGACTGCTTGAAGCTTACACGTGATGTTGCACAGTTGGGATGCTTGTACCAAGCGGAGGTCAAAAGCGAGAGATCCAACCGCGTTCAACGCGTACTTCATTTGAAGCACCAAAACCGTGTTGGAGCCAGTGCAGTCAAACAGTTTATGGATCTCAACCTGCACTGCGTCACTGGAAGACCTGGTGAACTAGAAGCTGCCGCCGACAAGGCAGAAACCTCATCAAACTGAGTTGAATCGTTCACAACGAACGTTAGTATTAAAGAAGTCGGTAAGTGTGTTCCTCCTGTTTATGCCTTGAGCCTTGAGCGCTATTCAAACACAAAACCATGACTTATGAATTGGCAACATCTTGCAATTTGGACTTATTGTGCCCCTGCAGTTCATCAATGAACTTTCTGGGCACGATCGTTGGTCTGGCAGCATCGTTTGGTTGGACTTCACCAAGTATGGCAAATTGTCTGGGAGTGACCTCAATGATTGCTGCGATCTATTGGCCATGATCTTGGGCAGGAAACCTCAGAAATCAGTGGGGCTCATCATGGCGCCCCATTTGATTTCGGAGAAGGTGCACAACGGTCTCAGGGGGGAGATGAGGAGCTTTGCTGAAAATGTCATGTTTTTTTGCGCCCGTCATTCTATGAAAAGTGTGTGGGTGTGTCTTCCAAAGCTGTTTTAGGATTGTATCCCGAAGATCAATTTGGAAAACTGTGCCCCAGCCCATCCAAGGAGGATTGAGGACAAGCTTGATGCCCTCGGGATTCAGTCACAGCTCATCATGCTGAGGATGGCTGCAGCGCCCGGTCAGAAACATGTCCCGCTGCAGTTTCCGGGCTGGATTTGCATGGAGGAGTCGACCATGGCTGACAACATTTGGGGTGCTTCTCAGCTTGTGGCAGACCGGTGCGGTGGAGAAACGTGCACGCATGGTTTTAAACACCTGAAGCCGGTTATTTGCTTTAGTGTGATGTGTTCATGGAACACTCGCCCCCACCCTGTAGGTGCACACGCTCCAATGCTAGCTGGCTTGCTGAGAGCAACTATGTGGTCCCGGCAGCTGGAAAAGACATGACTCCGTCTTCTGCAGAGACGAGGCCCAATATCATTCCGAAAAATCGTTGGCCTTGTTTTAGAATTGGGTGATTTTTGTTAGTAGATAGACTATGATAGACTCTTGGAGTTAACGTAGCTAGATCCAGCCCCAACCCACATTCCCAAACTGCCCTGGCCTTTCTGGACAGGTCCATGTCAGCCTACCAGGAGAGCGCTCAATACCTGGCTGGCAAGGATGTTGTGGACCAACTCTTGTCCAGCCTCTTTGCAAAGGTGGCCATCCCGGAGGAGGCAGTGGTTGGGCTTTTCAATTTGAGCCCTTACGATGCCTGGTTGGAATTGACTGCTTACCAATGGCCCCGGACCCACCAGGGCATGTGCATTCCAGTTGTTTCGCTCGGCAAGTCCTTGGGGGTCAATGAATATGTCGAGAGATCACTCGCTTTGAAGCTCATGGAGGACCTGGGCTAAACATGGGCTAAACATATTTAACTATAAGTTTGGCTTACAACCATTTACAACGGATCTGACTGACCTGTTTGCAGGAGTGGAAGCGTGGAAACCATTTGATGGGAGAGCGCACTCCCAAGTACAAGCCGGAGTTCGAACCGCCTGAAAAGGTGGAGCTTCAGAAGTTCCCTTTGCAAATCGCAAAGATCGATACCATTGCTGGCAAGACTGGCTGGGCCAAGTACAAAATCAGTTTGCCCCAAAGCTTTCGTTCCCTGCACTACAGCGATGTTCTTTTTGGACCAGATTGGCGGGAGCTTATTGCAGACTTCGACAAGAAGCCTTTTGGTGGGAAATCACAGCAAGTCTTCGTTTCTGGTAGAGTCATGACCCAACAATTTAGTTTCCCCAACATCCTGATGCTTGTTTTTTGCCAAGGTTTGAAACCAACCTTGTTTCAGATGTGCTCTCTTCATCCGGGGCACCTGAGAGCCTCCCGGACACCGTCAGCGACAAGCCGGCCTGGGAAGAGCCAACCACTCTTGAAGAGTTGACGAAAATGTACCACATTGAGAACAGGATTGCTGGCCGGGTCGCTGGCACGACACTCTACTTAGTTCAGGCCAGGGCCATCGATGGTCAAATTCGAGAAGTTGCTGATGAAAACGAGAAGTTCAAACTGTTCTTGATCCCTTGCCTTACTTTTTGCATTGCCTCTGCCAAAAGAAATTTGAATCTCTCTCTGTAGTAGATAAAGTTTCCATTTTCGTGTCATTGCACCCAGGGTTAACCAATCACACTGAATCTGAGGTTGCTCACACACCTGTTGCTGTTCCAACCACAGCTTTCCAGCTGGGCCATGGATCCTCCAAGTTCCCGAAAGCTGACAAGATCTCTACCATGAAGCGGGAGGGCAAAACAGGCAGGGTCACTAGCAGGGTCATTTTCATTCAGACTTCAGGTATACCTGCTGCTTTCTGTCTTGTTTCAGGGTCCTCAACCATCATATTTTTGGCAGTGCAAACTTGCACATGTGCCATTGCAGGGTCCATCCTCCGGTTGACTGCAGTGCAGGATCAAGGTGTTGGGTGTAGTGAATACACAGGCAGGATCCATGGTGCAGCTGGATCAGCTTCTGGCTGAACATGGCTTTAACCAGGACGGATTTGTAACGTTCGCTACTTGATTAATATTTGTAACGGTCGCTGTTTAACATGGCTTAAAGCAACGGCCACCAGATTCCAAATTCCAAATCTTTTCCCAGGACTTTGACAGGGTGGCATCTGCTGACCCCGGAGTACAACAAACCCCTCCAGCTCGTGTTCTGGGCTTACAAATCAAATCGATCATGCTTTCATTGCACTTTTCATTGCTTCTGCAACAACATGTATAGTCCATTCCAATGAGAACTTTGTGTTTTGACATCGTCGCAGCCCAGGTCAGATCTATGTCCCCGCCAGATTCTTCCACACCGGTTCCACCGCCAAAGGATGTAAGAGATGGTGGTGATCTTACGAGTCTCAAGGGTAAAGTGGAGGCGGAGGTGGCAACAATGGCTGAGGCTTCAGCCACTTCTGAAGGATGGAAGGCTTCACCTTTGCCGATGTCGTCATCTCTCAGCTCTCAAAAGAATGACCCAAAGCTATCTCCATGTGAAGTGGACAGCCTCTCTGCTCAACTTGAAAGCACTTTGCAGGTACGGAGGGGGCGACCAAAGAAAGAGGACAAAGAAGAACCCAAAGATGTGACAAAGGAGGAGAAAGATGAACAGCCGGAGAAGGTTGAGAAGAAAGCAAAGGCAGCAAAGGACACGGAGGAGAACATTGAGAGGACGGAACATGAACAGAGTGCAAAAAATGAGGCGAAGGAGGAAGATGAAAAGACTATGAAAAATGAGATGAAACAGAAGGCTGATGCAAAAAATGAAAAGACAAGCAAGAAGGAGAAGAGCAGGAAAGATGAGGAGAAGAAGGAAACGAAGGAGGACGAGGAACTTGGCAAGAAGGCATCCAAGATTGGAGTAAATCGCCTCTTTACGCATCGTGCTCCAAAGTTTGCAGCTGTCAAAAGCAAGGCTAAAGCAAAAGCAAAGTCGAAAGCCAAACAGGTGAAACGAAACAAACATGAAGATGATGATGCAGAAGAAAACCCGCTGGATAGCGAAGAAGACCTTTCTGAAGAATACTCAGCTTGGGAATATGAAGATGATGATGAGGCCCTCAAACCAAAAGACCTGCGCAAAGAGTTCAAGGCCGCAGCTTTGAAGGAGAAGGGCAAGAAGAAGGCACAAGAAGACGATGAGGAAGATGAAGATGCGCCAAAACAACGGAAGGGCAGCAAGAAGATGAATGGAGAAGGCAAATCGAAATCTGGCAAGTTCAGCGGAACTGGCAACAAGTCTGACAAGAAGAAGGGGTCAGAGAAGGCGGATAACGAAGACAAGGATTTGAAGAAGAAAGCTGCAAAGAAAGAGAAGCAGGAAAAGGAGGAGGACGATGAGGAATATGAAGACAAGGATTTGAAGAAAAAAGCTGCAAAGAAAAAGAAGGAACAGAACGAGGAGGAGGATGAGGAATATGAAGACAAGGATTTGAAGAAGAAAGCTGCAAAGAAAAAGAAGGAGCAGAAGGAGGAGGAGGATGAGGAATATGAAGACACGGATCTGAAGAAGAAGGCTCCAAAGAAGAAACAGGAGGAGAAGGAGGAGGAGGATGAGGAATATCAGGAAGAACCAAAACCAAAGAGGAAGGCAAAGGAAGACCAGGAAGAAGTGCAGCGCAAGGTAAAGGATCAGAAGAAGGAGGACAATGAAGATGAGAAGGCAAATGGCAAAAAGGTCAAGAGTTGCAAGTTCAACGGGACTGACAAGAAGTCAGAGAAGAAGAAGACTGAAGAAGCCAAAACAGGCAAGAAGCGAGCAAAGAAGGAGGAGAGCGAGGACGAGGATCAGAAGAAAGCTGCAAAGAAAGGGATCAGCAAGAAGAAGGCTGAGGCAGATGAAGAACAAGAAGTAGTAGATAAAAACATGTTCACTGGCAAGGAGAAAAAGGAAAAGGATGATGATGCGGAGGAGGAGGAGAACGAGGAACAAGACCCCAGCATCGCCAAGAGTACAGAGAAGGATGATGACAGCGACAAAGAAGAGGAGGAAGAAGCAACACCAAAGGTGAAGGGCAGCGAAAAGAAGGGAGAAGGTGAAGATGAGAATGCTGCTGACAAGAAGTCCTTGAGCGGAACTGGCAAGAAGTATGCAAAGAAGACCAGTAATGAGGACGACGATGTGAAGAAAAAGAAGAAGGCTGCAAAGGAAGAGGAGGAGGAACATGAGATGGCACATGAGGAGGAAGAGGATGATGATGTGGAAGATGAAGATGTGCCAAAAAGGGTGAATGGCAGCAATGCCAAGGATTCCCAATCTAGCAAGTTCAACGGAACTGGCAAGAAGTCTGACAAGAAGAGATCAAAGAAGGATGATAACGAACACAAGGATTTGAAGAAGAAAGCTGCAGCGAAAGAGATGGAGGAGAAGGAGGAGGAATATGAAGACAAGGATCTGAAGAAGAAGGCTGCAAAGAAAAAGAAGGAGCAAAAGGAGGAGGATGAGGAGGAGGAATATGAAGACACGGATCTGAAGAAGAAGGCTGCAAAGAAGAAGAAGGAGCAGCAGAAGGAGGAGGAGGAAGAAGAATACGAAGACAAGGATCTGAAGAAGAAGGCTGCAAAGAAAGAGAAGGAGGAGGAGGAGGAGGATGAGGAACATGAGGCAGAACCAAAGAGGAATCAAAAGGCAAAGGAAGACCAGGAAGAAGTGCAGCGCAAGGTAAAGGGCAAGAAGAAGGAAGACAATGAAGATGAGAAGGCAAATGGCAAGAAGGTCAAGAGTGGCAAGTTCAACGGGACTGACAAGAAGTCAGAGAAGAAGAAGAAGACTGAAGAAACCAAAACAGGCAAGAAGCGAGCAAAAAAGGAGGACAGCGAGGATGAGGATCAGAAGAAGAAAGCTGCAAAGAAATTGAAAACACACAAGGATGACGAACAGGAGAGCGATGAACGAGAGGAAGATGAGCGCAGCTCAAATGAAGGTGAGGCAAGCAATGACGAGTCGGAGCCGGAAGAGAAGAAAAAGGTGAAAGGCAAGAAACGCAAGAGCCAGGCCCCACACTTCTAGTTTTGGTAGTTTTGGTTTTGGGTCAGGAATTGCATTGGGACCTCGTTGAATCCCTTGACTCGTTTCACTCTTTTGCAGGGTGATGTGATGAGGGATGCCTATCACGACTTCGTCAAGACCCACATGGCATTGGTGAAAGATGAGAATCCTACTATGTCTGGCCGGGATGTCTTGAAAACTGTGAGGGATATGTTGGAGTCCCAGCCATGAGATTCAATTCCAACGTCCAAATCAAAACACACACAAATGATCAAACATGATGTTCAAATCCAATCGCTCTAAATCAGTGGTTTTCATTTTGGTGCTCAGGTGGAAGGTGTCTGAGATCCGCGCCAATTGCATCCGGAACATGACACCGACCCAGCGAACTCGAAGACGCCTGAACAATGTGTGAGCTGTAGATGATCCTGAGATTTTGTTGGGGCTGCACCAGAAAGTATTTGCCCTTAGAAAAGCACCTACTCGGGTTTGTATGTTGTTTTTGATGTTGGGATTGGAAGGCATCATCTCAGTCTAGTCTATACCCTGCAAACCCTAGTGCGAGACTCTGGTTGATTGTGGCCGGGTGGAAGTGTACTGGGCAGTGCTATTGGTGCTTTGAGTTTAAAAGCCAACATCAGCGGAGATGGCTGTGAGGTGGCTGCCAATAGTCTTCTAGGATTCATGGCAGTGTGAACACTGCTCATGCGGGGGTTTCGAACATCATCTGGCAGCTTGAGAAAATGAAATACGTTGCAGCTTTCATATGAACAAAGGCTTGGTTAGCTGCCGCACTGAAACAATTTTTGACTCACAGTAATCATTTGGATCCTCTCGAACTGGTGAGCAGGTGAGCTGGAGTATATGAAGGTCTGCGCTTTCCATAGCGATCTGGACAGAGTCATTTTGGAAATGCCCAATGAGTCTGGGAAAGGGACGACAGACTCAGATATCTCATCCATACGCGCACTACTCCACGAGATGGAACAGGAGGAGGTGGTGGATTGCACGATCAACCTGCATGAGTTGAGCCGCCCCCCAGCCTGTGGTGATGGAGCTGCCGCTGCTGACAGCTGACGCCTAAGTCTGTTTCGTTCAGTCTCTCTACCACTCCACAAAGTCCATCCCCAAGATTTGTTTTTCTTTAATCTTCCTAATCGCCCCCAGCCTAGGTTCAGACTTCTTCGAAATCAAGCCGAAGCCGACACCGATCTACTTTCAATGGTCCCCGCCAGCACTCACCAGCTCTTGCAAATACACTTCGTTGGCCAACGTGTTCACAGAGAAGGTGTGAGCGTCAATTCAAACAGCAACTTGTTTTTGGAGTCTTTATATTATACTTCAATTGTGCCAGGCTTTGGCAGCTTCACGAATGCTACACACTGTGTGGCGAATGGCATACTTGAAGGAAGCCAACGCAGCTTTGCTGCAACATGTGTTTGGAAGATTCAAGCTTATTTTTATCTCTGGTTCAAGACTCTGAAGCTGGCCGAGCACTGAGGAGCTAACGCCTCGATGCTCGGTGGCAAGACTTGAAACGTGGTGGCCTCAAAGATTGATTTGAATCCATCACTGCAGATCTGAGGAAAACCGCTATATTTTATCCGTGGATCCAAAGACCTTGCATTGGATGCTGACCAAGCGATCCGCTTGGTGTGATTTTGCGATGTTGTACAGTCTGGGCCCTGGGTGTCCCAAGTTTGTTGGCAGAAAGTTGGATGTACACAAATATCTCACCATCATCAAGATCATCAAGTTGAATCAACTGTCCCTTATTGTAGTTTGATTGGAGGCACCCAGGGTGTGAATCCTTTCAGTTGAAGGCTGCTAAGGGCAGAGCTCGAGCAATCAGGCTGTGCAAACATGGTGGGTTCTCACCGTCGCTCAGTGTCCGATTGCTTTAGCATCACTTAATATAGATAACATAAAACTAAGAGTTGTATATCTTCGGATTAAGTATCTGCAAGTCTTCTTTGCACATTCACCTTGTTGCAAATCTGTCTTGAAAGGCTGCTTTGAATTGACAGTTCTTGCATTGATGGATGTCAGAGCCTTTTCCAGGCCGCGCGGTGTTTAAAAAAAACAAGACACAGCATCATCTAGCACATCTAAACTCTCCAGTGCCAAGGGTCTGACAGGGGCGACTCACTCCGGCATGGGCCACCCGTGTTCATGATGAAGGACCGAGCACATGCTTGATGAACATGGATGAACAGTGTGAAACTTTCCTGAACCCTTTCGATGAAACAGGATGCTTAGTGATACCGGGTTCACATTGATGCAAGTCGTGATAGAGTGATAGAACTACTACTGTATAGACATCTCCTCAGCAATATACATGCTGCAGGGTCCAGGCGCCAGCATACACATGCTAAGTATAATGACTTGTTGTCGCCCCGTACTGCCATTTGCTGGCAGGTATTTTTATTTCACCGCTTCAGCCTCTTCAGATTTTGACCTCGGTCGAGCCTTGGCCTCATCTTGGAATGAAAAACTGTCAAAAGCAATCTTCCAAGGTTTGAGCTAGTTGAACTTTGGAAATGTCTCGGGAGAGCCGAGCGATGGTGTTGATCCCAATAGATCGGGTTAGACAATTTTCTATCTAATAGTCAATTCTGTTTTTTAAGACAACTTTCTGTCTATTAGTTAATTTTGTGTTTTATCTTCTTTAGTTAATTTTTTGCTTTTTTAAGATAAATCAATAGATAATTCAGCAAGTTAAAAAAGAAGGTTAACTTTTTTAACCTTGGAAATTAACTATTGAAACAAAGGTTTTTGCATCCAAAAACCAGATCTTTGTGTGTTATCTCAAGACATGACAGACACAAAAACTTAAGTTCACTCCTCTCAACAGTAAACTCTCAAACACAAAAGAAAGACACATGCCTCTTCTCTCAACAGGAAACTCCTTGGACATTAACTATTGAAACAAAGGTTTTTGCATCCAAAAACAAGATCATTGTGTGTTTTCTCAAGACATGAGAGACACAAAAACTTAAGTTCACTCCTCTCAACAGTAAACTCTCAGACACAAAAGAAAGACACATGGCTCTTCTCTCAACAGGAAACTCTCAAACAAAACATTTCCCAAACAGCATGCCTTCACAAATGTTGGCACCTTTTTCACTCTTTCACAAGCTCCAAATGCATCGCATATCTCCAGTGGAGCATCATCTTCATTGCCACATCCTCTGGCGCCACACCCCTGGCACATCCTTGACATAGAACTTTCATGATGCCCATATTGTCTTCACCAGTGAAACACCAAACCAGCCTGGGGCTGAGCTCATGGCAATGCAATGCCAAATGTTGCAGCATGTGGTGCTTCATTGTGATGGAGCAAATGCTGGGCAGATCCTCCTCCCAATCAAAATGATTCGCCACCATGTGCTGTAAATGCAGCGTCTGAAACATGGTCACCTTGAACTGCTGAGCTGCAGGTTGTGGTAGAGCATTGAAACCTTTGTATTGATCCAATAAAGATTCTACATGAGAGCTGAGCTTTAAAGTCACAAGCACCTGCCGGTGCAACAGCAGATCTGTATTGCAGAAAGAAAGCCAGAGATCTGGCATAATCTTGTGCAACCATCTCACCTCTGCTGCTCGGCCTCGAAGCTTTGGTGGGCCAGTTTTCCTCTTGAACATGCTGAGCCTGTTGAAATACTTGTAGGTCACAGGGACTTTCTTGGTCTTGTACAGATCTTTCATTTTGCACCATACCACTTGCAAGTTCTGCAATGGGTCAGCGCCCAAAATGCAATATACAAGCATGTAAAAGATTCCTCCAAAGAAATACTGGTCTGCACCTAGGTATTTCAGGTGCATGTAGTCAACAGCCACACATGCACCAGATGCACCTGGGACTTCAAACAAAGGGCTTGAGCTGTGGCTGGGCCAAGCCCTCCAAGTGGATGGTGTCCACTCAAGTTCTTTGATTACATTCTCATGTCCCGAGCTCTCTTTCCAATTGTGACCTGTGCAAGAGCAAAGAGGGCACCCTCCAGCCAAGGTGCTCCACCTGGGTAAATTTAAGGCTGATGCAAAAAATTCAAGATCTCCTTGTATCTGAACCAAAGCAGCTCTCCAGCCTTCTGCCAAAGGTTGGCCAGCCCTTTGGCCATCAATGCTGCCTGGATCAAAGGCAGCGCCCATGTGATCCAGTGTGGGGAATGTGCCTTCAAATAATGACGTGAAGCTCCACTTCAAAATTGAGTGAAATTTGTGCAATGTGTCACTTTGTATTTGCTGCTCAAAGCCACCCCACAGGAAAAAACTTCTCTCTTTGGTACTGCCTCTGGACAGCAGCCCTGTCCATGAATATGTCTGCAACAACTTGGCCCAGACCTTCCCAACCCCTAGGGTTGGCACAGAGTCCCCATGCAACCCCAGTGGCAAAGTCCAAGATGGGTCGATGCTCTTCATTGTTTCCTCTTGCATTGCAGGGTGAGAAGCAAAGTTTCTCCAAAATGCTACCAACTGCTTCTTACCATGAGGTAGAAAGTTCTCTGCCCAATAGCTTTTGTAGTCTTTGTACAATGAATGGAACACCATGTGTGGCAGCATCACACCCTGGAAGGAAAATTTGGCTTCTGTCTTCATTGGGAATCTTGTCATCAGTGGCTCAGGTAGAAGACTCTCATCTTTCATGAGGTGAAGCAAATCTCGATGCATGTTGTTTGGATGTACTCCATGGCTTCCCATTCTAGCCAGTTGAATCAGTTCTGGAGGTATGACAGCATCACCTGTCATATGTCGCATGTCATCAACTGCAAATGCAGCAATCCTTTGTAAATCTTGAGGTGACAGGTGCCCCCAGGACCATTGTGCTTTCAAATATCTTGCCAGCTTTGACTCAAGGTTGGGTGGGGCAGCAGCAGCTGCAGAAGCAGCTAGCCTTTGCCTTTGGCCACCTTTCCTTTTTTTGACGGAAAAGAATCACTTGCATCAGAATCCATTGCTGCTTGCCAGCCACAAAATGTTTGGGGCAACCTAGCAACAAGAATGCATTTAACCTAGCAACAAGAATAAACACAGTTGTATGGCTGCAAGGGTTGTCAATGCTTGTGCAAAACCAAAGCTTGCGACACATATTGTCCAGGCACTGGTTAGTAGACTACATTTGCTTTTGCGCAGGCAACAAACTCTCAGCAGTAAGCTCTCAAAACATAACTTGGCAGGCTTCTGCTTGAAACACAAAATGCATGGGCCTCTTTTTCTCATCAAGGAATAGTGCTGCTTGAAGCATCACCAGGGCTGTACAAGTGGTGCTTTGCTTCTTAGATGGCATCTGCTGTGGCTTGTTGTAAGCAGAGCTAAATGAGCCCTCTGGCTTTCAAGGTAGCCTTGATCCTCTCAATCTTTTCATTGGTCTTCTCTGTATCACTCCCAATGGAGTCGACAAATTTGTTGACATTCTTTGTCTCCATCCCTCCATCAATCTGCTTCCACAGCAATGCATTGCTAAGCTTTTGCGTTGCTTCACTCAAAGTTGCCATGACCTCCTTCAAATCTTCGACCAAAGTCCTGTCATAGGATTCCTTCACCTTCTGCACAATCTTCTGGCAATCTCTGAGGAGCCTCTCTTGAGAACCTTTGGCATCATTCAGGATATTTTCCACACTCTTCCATGGAATCACCTTTGAAGCAGCTGCACCTTTTTTTTGGTGTTCATCTTCTTTATCTTTGATCATCAGCACAACTTTCTTGCTGGTGCTGCTGCCAATCTGGCCTTCCACTGATTCAGCTTCTGAAAATTTGTGCCAAGCTCGACTCTGCAGCCATTTGCTAATTTCAGCGCTGCTGTCAACATCCATTGTGGCCTGCCCTTGGTCAATGTGCAATTTGTCCTGGAACCTCTTCTGCTGGCCAGCCTCATAGGTGTTGAAAGCCAAATACTTTTTGTTGCCATGCCATTGCTCCACAATGTCGCCACTGGCCAAGGCTGCCTGCATAGCACTCTCATTGCCATGGAAATGTGACCACAGCATGATAGACTCAGGAAAGCTCTGAATCTTGTTTCCAGCATGCTTCAAAGTCGATGATTCTTTGAAGGCTTGGAACTTTTGCTCACCAGGAGC